CAAGCAGGGATTTGATCCTCAAAACTCCATTTTACCATACTAGCTTTGACCCGGCCCGTTGGCCGGATTACTTTAATTTACTAATTATGGAATGGAGGAGAGAGCTAGAGCAGAAAAATATTTATTTGGGTCCAACTCACAATTTGAATCTATTTGAGTCCATATAAATATACCTATAAAGAAATATCGACCATCTAGTTATTCGCATTAAACTAATTCACACCTTCATTATCGGTGTTTCCATATTTATGTTTGTTATACGATAAAAAATTGCAGAAATTACATTAGAGTTTATATTCTTTTTTTTTTTGTAGCCAATGTAATAGGTCTAATTTAGACTCAAACTAAATAGTCATTTATTGGTATGACCTTCAAGTGATATTACCAAATATGATTTGACTGGTAATAAATTGGGGTTGGAAAAGATTTTTTTTGCAATTCATAGTGGAGGGAATTTTTTAGGCCACGTTTGGCATTAGTTGTTCATTCACCACCACATTCAACGCTAAGGTATCACTTTTCCATAATACTTTTTAATTTACTGCGAAATGAGATGACCTAAATATCTTCAGTTTTGGGTTTCAAAATAGTAAATTTGCAATTACTTATTTACATAGTTTCCATCTCCTACTTTTAAATGTGTGAGATTTAAAGTTTCTTTATCTAAATTTCATAGCAAAATATGAACCTGTAAAGATTGGCAGAGGTGAGTGAACAACTAAAGATCACAATGATTGTAGCTTTAGTGGTATGGAGGTATATTTGAGATCGTAAATCAATTAACAACATCTCATCTTTCATTGAAAACTAAGCGAAATTTAGGGAGTCATTCATTGTTATATAAAAGTATTTGAGTAAAATATGTTTGAAAACTGAAATTGCATGCATTAGTGAATAATAGAGTTCTTAATTGATATATATGGGCAGTTCTAGGGTGCCCAGGGCCAAATCCGAGGTATGGAAGACCGGGGGCAAGGAAAATTACAAAAAGCATTACGAAGCATTAAAGCTTTTTTCATTGGACTTCAACCTAACTGTACCCGGTTTAATTATATCGATTAAGAGGTTAAACCCTATGGATACGGCCCACCGCCGCCCTAACCAATTTCCAGTCTCCCTTCTACGATCCCTCATTCGTCTTGGAGGGTCCCCTCTTAGTTTGAAGTTCGATCATAAGCTGCCTATCAAATTGAAATCTCCAACGAAATCATCATTTCGAAACCCAAATCCTTTTATTATTTGATCCACATTCGATTTAGCTCCCTATCCAATCTCAAATCCCCAACATCATCATGTTTATACCCCAAATCTATTTATCCACATTCGAAGTGAAGATCCCCATCCAATATGAAATCCTCACATAATCATCGTTTTGAACCCCAAATCCTTGTATCCACAAATCGACGTTTTGTTCGTCGCCATTTTATTTCCGGCCGGAATTTACTCACCTATCTCTTTCTAACACGATTACAGCAACCATGTCTATTATTTTGTTCATCAAACTTTTCATTTGCAAAAGAACCCTTGAAAGAGGTTTGCTAACCCTAGGGTTCATGTCGCTAGTGCATTGTCATCTTGTCTTAGCGTTATTATCATTTGCAAAATAACTTCTATATCTCGGTGAAATTAAGGTTTCCTGATATGTAGTGTTCGTCTCGCCCAGAGGATTGAGGAAGAAGATGAAGAAGCCAGAAATTGAATCAAATCGGATGGAGAGTCTCCTTAATTTGTGTTTATGTATTAACGGTGCGTTTAGGACTAATTCTAGTTGGACTGGGTCTGATCATTGATTTTTGCAGGCTTTTAAATAATATTCAAAAGTGGGCTTGTACATGATCCATGGCACCTAGATTGTTGATAATAGATACTGAGTTCCGGATTGTCATTAGGTTGGGCCTTTGATAATTGTCTATCCCATTTTTTGGTTCTTTGTTTTACTTGATTTTATATTTTATTTACATTTGCTTCTGCTTCTAAAATCTTTATCATGCCTTGAGTTCACGCAATTTAAACATAATTATGTGTTCCATCTTGTTTTGGGATTTGGTAAATGGTAGCGTGTCTCTTTACACATTTAGCGGTACGAAGTTCACTACAATCCGCCCAATTTAACTCTTCATTAATTGGCCTTATTCCACTCTCTCACTGATTGCCCCTCTTTATGCAATGCACTCGTACATAACAAATCTCTTGTAGACCAATTAGAGGCTTGTGGTTGGATACTAAGTGAGGATATTTTTTTAATTTATGTTATGAAACAAAAGTTAGAATTTCACTTTTGAAGTTCCTATGTACTTTAGTTGGGAAAATATTTTCAAAATGTAAAATTTTATCAGCGTATAGGTATACGATTGTTGTATAAGGTGTTGATGTTAAAGGAAATGGGTACTGACTGGTTAGGGTATTAGGTTGTTGATGGTATAGAGTATATGGTATATGGGTAGGTTAAGGTGTTGATGGTTTAGATCACATGGTATTGATTGGTTATCCAAAACGGCTGTCATGTTGCTATTTCATATCCTACATGGCACTTTCATTTCCCCTTCCATTGTCGTAGCCCATGTTTCATAAAGTGGGATCTTCCACTTAATGAAATACCAAATGGAAGAGCAAGAGTGGGTTCCACCCAGTTTACGTTATTTTCTTTTTCTTTCTTTATTTCTATTATATTTTGTGAGTTGTGAGAGAGTGTATTTTTGTTTTGTGGGCCCACTATGAAATAGATAATGGATTTCATTGATCTAGAGGAAATGAAAGTGATTTGTAGTGAAATGAAAAAAGTGGCTAATGTGGCAGTAGGGACCACATATGAAATAGAATTGCTATTTCATGGATGTAGATGGTCTTATGATGAGGGTAGGTGTTGTTTTCTTTTTCTCGATTTTATATTTTCTTTATATCTTCTTATAAATGATGATCATGCCTTATTACTAAAAAAAACTTAGACATAATTATTGTAGCGTGACACATTCATCGGTACGAGATAAAATGATTTGGTGAGTGCAAGGTAGGTTCCTATTAACGATTTTGCCTTGTTGGTTATCCTTGGTGGTGATCCCGGCCGTTAGCGATTTACCACATATGGAATGAAAATTAGTTAGAGTTCTTAAGTTCATCTTTCTTCATTTATTCTTTGCCTACATGTTTTTGCTCTGAAGGATTTTGTAGTGGCGTGCTAAAGACAATCCGTCCAATTTAACTCTTCATTAATTCCCCCTTTTCCATTCTCTCACTCCCCCACAACGCAAAAACAAGCCCCTATGATATATTTACCGTTCATTTTAACCCTTCACTTAATAAGAAAGCGAAATTTCACATGATGATAATGAATGTCATGTAGCTTAATTGGTTAATTGTCCTTTAGTTGCTGAATCAATAAAGTAGAGGTTTGTGGTTCGATACGTAGCGACTATCAATTTTTTATTTTTGTTTTGAAAAGAAAGTTAGAATTTCAATTTTGAAGTACCTATGTACTTTAGTTGGGCAAGGATTTTCAAAATGTAAAATTTTATGAGCGTATAGGTATACGATTATTGTATAAGGTGTTGATGGTTAAGGTAAGGGGTTCAGTGTATTGAAGTCAACAATTTTACTAAACTTGATATGCAATCTTTGACGGTTCAGTGTTTTAGGCATATGACATATGGTTAGGTAGGCTATAAGGCGTTGATGGTTTAGAGTATATGGTATTGGGTTAGAGTATAAGACCATCTCCATCCCTAAAATTGATTAGCAATTTCTAAACGTGGTCCCTACCGCCACATCATCAATTTTAGCAATATATCACTTATCAATTTCTAGTCATCTACATCCCTAAATTATGCTAGTAATTGCCAAAGTGGTCCCATTTACTATTTCAAAACTACACAAACACTTTTAGCAATTGCTATAAGAATTCCTAATTTAGCAATCTTGCTAGTTTAGAAAGAACTCCTCCATCCCTAACCATTGATAAGTTTTTGCCATCTAAGCTCCACCTCATCTTTAGAAATTGCTAAAAGTTGGGGATGGAGATGGTCTAAGGTGTTTATGGTTTAGAGCATAAGCCTATAAGGTATTGAAGGTTAGGGTATAAGGTAGGTAGCAAGGTATTGATGGTTTAGAGTATATATGGTATTGATTGGTTAAAGGTATAAGGTGTTATTGTTGTAGAGTATATGGTATTGATTGGTTCGGGTATTAGGGTTTGGTTTAGGGTTTAGGGTTACAATAAAATATAACAAATCAATAGATTAATTTTGATAAACAAAAAAGTTAGTTAATCTACAAAGCAGTCTAAAAGCACATCCCCATCTCCCGCTGTCAATTCCTAAACTTTTCCCTTCATCCGATGGTGAAAAGACCTTCAATCCTTTCCGCGGCGTGTCACCAAATCAGATTTCGCCGTTTCCGGAAAGTCGCATTTGCCCATAACCAGTGCTGGAATTACCAAGGCCGAGGCAGCGGTAGGGAGTGTGATTTTCAGTAAATGGGAAGGGCTGGAAAGGCAAAGTAATTTTACGAGTCCAATTATAAATTCGTTAATCAGAGAAGGAGAGACCATGCTCTGAAACCCGAGAGGCACTCATCTCCTGCTGCTGTTAGTTCCTCGTCTTCTCAATCCCTAAAAAGTAGGGCTGTCATTTCCATTGCCGGTTAGCGGCTAACCGGCCGGTCTAACCGTTAACCGCCGATTAGCGGCTAACCGGAAACCAAAAAAAACTGGGCACGGTCGGTTGTCAGAGGCGCTCCGTGGTTAGGCGGTTAGCCAAAAAGTCGACGCCGGTTAAACCGGCTAACCGACGCTAACCGGCAAGCCGAAACGATGCCGTTTTTGCCTAAATAAAACACCCCATCCCCCAAATCCCCAACCCTAGCAGCCCTTCGTCCCATCCCCCAAAACCCCAGCCGCCTCCAGCCCTCTGCATCGCCGACACCCAACCTTCTTCTCAGCCCTCCAATCGTCGTCGACTCCGCCTCCCTCCAATCCTCCTCCCAGGTTCCCTTGCCGACTGCCACCCCTAACTTCCCCCTTCCCCCTTCTCGCGCAGCGGCGCAAGACCACCCTCATTGCCTCTCATCTCATCTCCCCGACTCCCCTCCACCAGCCACAAGACCACCCTCGTCGACTTCGATTCGTCGACCCTCCACCAGCAGCAACCGGGCAACAACCCCGCCGCCTCCACCCTCGTCGCCCCGCCGCCTCCACCATCGTCGACGTTCCAGCAGGCAGCAGCAGCTCCACCCTCGTCAGGCAGCAGCAACCAGGCAGCAACCATCGCGGCGGCCGGTGGGGATTCGGATTTGGATTCGAATTCAGGAATGGTGAGATGTTGGATAGGGGATGAGAGTACTAGATCACAATTGCCTCCTAGTGGGAGAGAGATTCAGTGAAATTTCAGATGGGTATGGTTTTCTTGCGGGATTTCGGTTAACGGGAGGCGGTGAGCAGCGCCGTGGTGGAAGGGTAGACCAAAGTCCTCTACTCACCGTCGCCAGCACTCCAGCAGGCAGCAGGTGGAGGAAGGAGAAAATCAAGAAGATAAGGTTTGGTGGAGGAAGGAAGGAGAGAGGAGGAGATAAGGTTTGATGGGTGGGGTACAGATTTTTTGTTTTTTTTTAATTTTTTAATTATTTTTTTTTTGTAGAAAAGGTAGTTTTCCAGTTGGCCGGCCAACCGAGCCTAAAACTGAAATCGACTGGTCGGTTGGCCAGCTAACCGGGACCTCTCTCACAGTCGGTGGTCGGCAGCTATAGAGGGTTGTTCGGTTTAACCGATAACAGGGTTTTCGGTTTTCGGTTAAACCGAAACCGACCAACTGCCACCCCTACTAAAAAGACCCCTTTCTCCCATTTTCTCGATATGAAACTCTGAAAATCAACCTGATAAGCCGTTAATTGCACATGTTTTTACCCCTACTCTGGAGCCGTTTGAGATGGTAATTCTCGTGTTTTAGGCCGATTTCACGCTAGGTTGTGCTTGTTTGTGATATTTCAGGTCCTAGTACGTGAATGAAGGTTTGGGAGCGAGTTTGGGGTCGATTGGACGAAGATTGGACGCGCGGCGAGTCACAAAGGAAGCCACACGGGCACACTCACAACTCACACGGCCGTGCAAGTGACCAATTTGGCCTTGTGGGATTGTGCGAGCCTTCACACGGGCACAAGTAAAATCCACACGGTCGTGTGAAGTTGCAATTTGGTCGTGTGGAATTCTGCGAGGCTTCACACGGCTAGGCTGGGTGAGCTACACGGCCGTGTGACCCTGGCCGTGTAGGAAGCCTGAAATCCAATTACTCGGAACGCGGCGTTTTGACCTCACACGGGCAACTGGGTATGCCACACGGCCGTGTGAGCCTGCCCGTGTGAGGCGGCAATTTCTGGTTTTTACCCAATTTTGGGCTGCAAGTGAGGGGATTGGATTTTCAGAGCAAAAACAGAGCCCTAGAGAGAGAAAGTACGAAGAACACATCCTAGAAGCTATCTTAGAGCTGGGTTTCATCAAATCGAGCTTGGAGATCGTCATAGAAGTGGAAATCATCATCCCAGAGCAGATTTTCCTCATCTTTATGAGTATGACTACTCTGTATTCTGTTTTCCTCTCTCTCTCTCTATGGAGTAGAACCCTTCTCTCACTTGGGTATGAAGAACCCTAGTTCTATGTGTTAGGGATTTGATTGTAATGACTTGGGATGATATTACTGCTTGGTTTTAATCGAATGATGCATGTTTATTGAGTCAATTGAAATCTGATCAGCTTTTCCTGATTTCTGCTGCAACCTTAGATAGATAGAATCTGATTAGGTTGTTAGAGCCTCATCATTCGGTAGTAGGAGATTGGCTATACGAGAGTTAGCTAGTTTATTGCTTTGTACTGGAATTCAATTCCAGTAGTGGAGTTCTGTGCTTATTGCTTCAACTTTCTATCCTGGTGAAGACTAGTCGTCTGCCGGGTAGTTAGACTGAGAGGGCTTGGTCAGCTTAAGAGATTCCAAGCTACTGTCGGATCTTCCGCAGTCTAATCAACAGTAAATCAACCCAGGGAAAATACAGATGAAACCTAACTAAGGAGCTAGGGGGACTCATTCCCGAGTGACTCTTCTTTGCTTGAGAAAACCGTACCAATTCCTGCTTTCTTACTGCTTTTGCTTAAAATAACAATCACTTAACTTAGTTGGCTAGATAACATATAATCACGGAGTAAGCAGTAGATCTTGACCCCGGGTTGATAATAGAACTTGCCATTTTACTGCATTCCCAGACTGCGATTACACTTGGTCGCAGTTTGGTGTTGTGTTTTGGCGTGCCAAGTTTTTGGCGCCATTGCCGGGGACTTTCTAGATTATTAGGAAAGGCAGAAGTTTGTTACTTTAGCGTTTTTCTTTTCTTTTCCACCCTTGCTTGTCACTTGGGTGTTTTTTGTTTTTGTTGGTGCAGATCTGAATCATGGATCCTCATGGCTTCTCCAACCATTGGGGGTATCCATCACCATCCGAGTGGTATTACCCCGAGACCCCCTGGAGCAATCAAGGAGGAGAAGACTATGGATTCGGGTTCCAGTACCAACCCCCTTACTATGGAGAATAATCATACCCCTGGGCATATAAAGAAAAAACTCCTTATCAAGAAGACTTTCTCCCACAACTAGAAGGGCCATCAGAGCTGGAGTTAGCCATGGAGGCCTTCACGGGCCACTCTGCAGAGCCATGCTACACTTCACTGGAAGATCTAAACAAACAATTAAGGCTTCTCGTGGAGCAGTTTGCTCGAGACACTGAGAGATCATGCTCCAAGATGGATCTTCAAATAGAGGAGACTGTTCAGCGCTCAGCGAAGCAAACAGAGTGGGTGGAGCAAGTTTGCTCACATCTTGCTCAAGATCACCTTTCTGCTACCACGCTAGAAGAGGTGGAGGATGACAAAGGCTACGGTGATGTTGAGGAACATACAGAAGTTATCACAGAGAACTCCCATGATAATCATGATAAGGAAAGTCCTCTGGTTGTAGATCACACCTTTCCTCATTTCTGCTCTAACATGCTGGGCCCGAGCGAGGAGATGCAAGATGATCTCATTGAAGAAATTACATGGCGACTTGCTCTCCAATCTGTGCTAGAAGAAGAAGAGCAAGAAAGGGTGCAGAAAGAAGTTGTGGAGGATGACAAAAGTGAAGCAGGATGAGTTCTTGATCATTTCCCAGGGATGATACCACATGAAGAAGAAAGGGGGGTTGAAGAAGCAATTGGCGTCCAGGCTGAGGACGGAGTTAAGGTGGAAGAGGGCTGCACCGGCCATGAGTTACATGTGATATCTCCACCAAACTTCGAGGAACTACTTAGCAAGGACCCATTTGCAGTGTCTCTTTGCCAGACCAAGGCCACATCGACATCGGTCCCTCTTGGTGGACGCGATGGTGGTCAATCGATGTTGTCATATCTGGTTTGGGGCATCGACATCGGTCCCTTTTGACTGCATTACATCTGTTTGTGTGCTTGGAGCCTAGTGCACTGTCCAAATTTTTAAATTTGAGGGCTCCAAGTACGTGTTTCCTTGCAAATTGCCTGCTCAGTATGCTTTGAATTAACAGTCTCTATAGTAATGTGCAACCTAGGGAGGTAGTGTAGCACTATGGAGGATGTTGAAGTATAAGATTTTTCCTATCTAGCTCTCTGTTGTGCCAGTTAATTTTGTGAATTAGTGGAGCTAAGACCGTTGAATTCATGTGGTAATGGTGTCTCTGTTTGGATTGTGTTATGGAATCGTGTATCGAACAGGGTGCTCATATGGAAAATGGGAAGCAGTTGGTCCTCCATGTCGAAATCATTGAAATCTTAAACATGGGGTAAGCCCAACGTGTGTGGCACCGTTCATTGCACAAAATCGGGTTTTGGAAGAGATTTTAGTGATCCTTAGTGGGGTACTCCTACAAGGTGAAGCTAAGCTGTCTCTAGTACAAGTAAAATTTTCACCCGTTGAACGGTTTGCCTACTTGAGGATGCGTTTTTAAGGGAACGGATAGAGCTTCCGACCCCCCTTGATTTCATTGACCCTCCACACGAGTTATGGAAAAGGAGTTAAAAGAATTACTCTGGCGAGTGCTAGATGTACAAAAATTGCTCTTGCTCGACTAATAAGGGTCGACCGTGCAAAAGACTGCAGTTGGAACCCCCGCCAAGTGAATGAAGAAAAAAAGAGAAAAAGAAATGTAAATGAAAGTGCAAAAACGGGTTCCAACGGTGAAATGAAGTGAAAGAGCACCCCGGTACAACGAGTCCTTGGTTGTGAATGGTGTGAGTCTCTTTGTCCATGAACTGACTGTCTTACTTCTACTTCTTCTCATGTTCCTGGCTTGAGTCTAGTACTCGCATTGAGAGAGATAGGGGACGTCTTAGAAGACCAGTTGACCTCGTAATCTTCTATAGGATCTAGGAAATCCTTTACCGACGATCGGGGTTGTTTGTTGCTATAGAGGTTTGGAGAGCTGCATTGGTTTGAGTTAGGTTTGCTTGGGGACAAGCAAACAGTTAAGTGTGGGGGAATTTGATAACATCAGATTTGCACATGTTTGCACCCTCGTTTCTTGATCATTTTAGCTTGAGTTTCTGCTTTCTTGGACTATTTTATGCTAGGTTTTGTTCCTTTGTCACATTTCAGGTCCTAGCACATAAAGTGAAGCATAGGCGCAAGTTTCAAATCAATCAGAGATCAATTGACGATTCGGGAGAAGAAACTCGGGCATAACCTGAAGAAGAATGGATTTCTACCTCACTTTATGGACAAAGAATCATGCAAGCTTGCCATGAAAAGAAAGAGGACGAGACTACGAGCGTCTGAGATCAAACGGGGACTGATTAGGAGTTCGGACGAGGGAGAAACGAAGCATTAAACAGAGGTTGAGCAAGCCACATGGGCATCTTGGAATTCCACACGGCCGTGTGGGTCGTGGCCGTGTGGAAATCACCGAGCCTTCACACGGGCAGCTGGGAAAGTCACACGGGCGTGTAGCCTGGCTTCGTGATCGGGAATTTCTGTTTAAAACTCGATTTTCAGCCAAAGGAAAGGGGAGAGCTGGGTTTTTGGTTCCCAAACACCCAAGGGACGAACCCTAGAGAGAGAGAGAGAGCGACTTGGGAACGTTCTTGGAGCTATTTTGGAGGATTTCTTCGCCATTGGAGCTCAGGAATCAAGCTTGGAGATGAAGATTGAAGATCTAGATCATATTTCTGCGGTCTCTCTCTTCTCTATGGAGTAACTTCCCTTCACTTAGGTTTTGAGGAAC